AAAGAAAAAGATACATTTCCCAGACTGGTGACTGGTGAACACAGGTTTGACCACATCTCCCCAGTCTTGGTTCGTCTGGACTGGTTACCTGTTACCTCCCCAATCAGATCCAAGGGTTTGGGACCACGTTACCTGTTGGAGCACCTTTTCCTAAGGTCATCCACCCAAGCCACTAGGTCCTTCCAGGCCACGATCCTCCAGGTAGCCACTCCAGGGGAAGCGAAAAAATCCTCTACTAGAAGTAGGTCCTTCTTTGCAGTGGCTCCAACATTATGGAACCAGCTGCTAATGGAACAGTTCCTGGCCCCCTCCTTCCCTCCCTCTTTTTAAAAGAAAATTGAAAACATTGTTGTACAGTGGATTCTCGACTTACAGAATGAATCCATATTGGAACGGTGGCTGCAGGTCGAAAAGTCTGTAGGTCGAGGTTCTATTGACCTACAATGCATTGAAAACCAATTAATCCATAACCGGCCATTTTTGTTCCATTTTGTTTTTTTTCCTGGTCTGTAGGTCGATTCTCCGAAAAGTCTATAAGCGGAGCCTGCCTGTAAGTCAAGGGTCCACTGTACAGAGGCCTATTTTGGCAACCCTGCATGACCTGTTTTGACTGCTCTATATGGTTACATGCCCATGTCATTTTCTATTTTATATGGCTAGTTGGACTGTTATTACATTGTTTTTATTCATATTTATTGTTTTAGTTCCAGATTAATGCTTTTGCACTAATAATGTAGTATTCAAATTTAATCAATCAATAATAAATAAATAAATTTCTGGGCCAGTTGTGGAACTCTAGATGTTGTTATCCAGAAACAAACTCATCCAAACTATTTTACTTATTTCAAAATGATAGCAAATATACTCTTGAGGTTCTGACCTTTTGACCAAAAGTCCCGGCAATACTGAGACATTATTTCCACTGGTTCTCCACATTTCTGTTTCAAATATCTGACAAGTGGAGGATATTTAGAACGAAATAATTGATAGATACCAAAGATGTACAAAAAATGCAACAGGTGAAATGTAGTGGCACGTTAAAGATAATCTACTATATTTGAATGTGAGCTTTTGTGGATCAAGTCCATTTCCTCAGACATGAAAAGTGAGATTATTTTGAAATGGGATATAAAATTTATATTAAAATATTTGTAGCTATAGAAAAGGTAGCCATGTTAGTCTGTTCAAGCATGATAGGTAATAACAAAATAAAAAAAATTAAAAAGACAAAGACGTGGTTATATTATTACAGTATATTATCATTATCATTATCATTATCATTTACCTATAAGATTATTTATTTTATTATTATTACTGTATTTACCTATACTGTAACATTAAAAGCTAGTATTTAAGACTATATAAGTCAATAAGATGCTAGAACTTCTGGTCAGCTGTGTCTTTTGTCCGATTTTTCCTGTCTAAAATGCTTGAACAGACAGACAAACACGGTTACTTCTTCGAAAACTACAATTCATTGACGGATCTCTTTATGCAGCAACATTAACTTCCTCAACCCTCCAGACTCTGAATAAAATGGCTTCCAAAGTGAGCCCTAGCGGTGGAACTCAGCCCAGCTTGAAAAACAGCTCTATGGTGATAATGGTGGCTGGTTCCTCTCTAGCCCGACGTTTCTCCTCTCTGTGGTTATCCTCTCGTTTCTTATACTTTCTGGATCTCCTGGAGGGCCGTTTACTCTCCGTCTTCTGTTCAATGAATCGACCAATCGCGCAAGGGAAATTGTTTAAAATGGCAGGAGGCAGGGCCAATGGAAATTGTCTCCCGGGAAAAGGGGCGGGACAGGTGAAGGTAGGCTTCTGGACCTAGGCTGCTGCGTTGGGGGAAGGGTGAGATGAAGTTGCTCCTGCCTCTCCTGTAAGTGGCTTTATTTCCACGTGTATTTCAAATTTAAAGGGGAGGTCCTTAAATAGAAGGATTGGAAATTGGGGGGTAATGCGGGAGGTGTAACTGGGGAAGAAAGTAGATGTGTAAGAGATCTGGCAAGAGAGGGGCGGAGGGATCCTCCTGCACCACCGTGCAGTTGCAATTTCACTTGTTATTGCAGAATATTGTAGAATGGATCAGACGCAGGTCTTGGACTGGGATGGAGAAGACGATCCCGATTATTCTTCCAATGGGGCTGGAGACTCCGGGGAGCCCCCTAAGCCTGTGGGTCGCCTGCACCTTCTGAGCAACAAGTATGGCCCCGAGAAAGGTAAGGATCCTCCTTTGTGCCTTTGCACTTTACCTAAAGGAGTGCTCACTGCTTCCCCATATCTGGTTTGTTAGGTTATTTAAGCCTTTAGATCTGGGTGTGTGTGTGTGTGTGGACAACTTGGGATGGTCCAAAAGGTTTTGGGCTCCAACTGTCCTTCGTTCCCAACCCATGTAGCTGGTGATCAGAGGTGATGGAAGCTGCAGCCTAACAGTATCTGGAGAGCCTCTGGTTCTTCACTCCCGAAGAACAACAAGGACAGATAATAATGTGGGGAAATGCTGGGAAACGTTGAAGGCATTAGGGAAAGAGGAAGGCCAAGTGTAAGATGGATTGACTCTGTCAAGGAAGCCATGGCATTGAGGTTGCAAGATCTGAGCATGGTTGTGAATGACAGGACCTTTTTGGAAGTCACTGTTTCCTACAGCTGCCTAAGTCAGACAGGACTTGACAGTACACAGTAACAACAATGATAATATAATGGATTAAAACTAGCTCTTCGTATGCTGAATCTTGTGGGTCCTGTTAGTGAGGCACTGCGGTCGACATGCTTCTTGCTGCCTCTTAATTCAGAACAGTTCTCAGAGGAAATTAAAAAAACAACAGTTGAGTCTTGCGGCATCTTAAAGAGCAACATTTTTTATTTGGCATATACTGAAAATAGCAGTTTGTGCCAAAATAAACTTGTTCATGCCACAGAATTCTTTGTTGCTTTTGCTGCCACAGACATATGAGGCTACATCTCTGGAAAGTAAGTATATCATGTTCCTTTCGGGAATGGATCTTCGGAAAAGGGCAAATTATAGCCACAGAGGGGCTCCTTTGGTGGAATGAGGCATTTGTGGTGCAAATGCTAACTGTAAAGTACTTGGAGAGCACAGATGGGCTGAAAACAAGTTAAAACTGTTAGGAAAAATTCAAGATAGGCAGGACTTATAAAAGATAAAGTTGTAGTCCTAGGTTTATTGAACTGGAGAATAGTTTCTATTGGATTGAATCCAAACAAATATATTTCTTTATCGCATCACATTTACAGCTGGCTGGCTGGATCACTCAGTGGTTTAGTCATCTGAGTGTAGAGCCAGAGGTTGGGAGTTTGATTCTCCACTGGGCTTCCTGTGAGTGGAGACAGCCTGTGTGGCCCTGGGCCAGCTGCACAATCCCAGGGCGCTCCCAGAAGAAGGGAATGGTAATTCCTCAGTATTCTCTTCCTGGAAAACCCTGAAAAGGGTCATCATAAGTCAGAATTGACTTGAGGGCACATGATTATTATTATTTACAGTGGTGCCTCGACTTATGAACTTAATTGGTTCTGGAAGATGGTCGTAAGTTGAAATGGTCATAAGTTGAAGCACCATTTCCCATAGGAATGCATTGTAATATAATTCATCCGTTCCTGGTGAAGAAGAAAATCACAAAAAAACCCCCACAACAGCACTGCAAGACCCATCGGAAATGGGATTAATCCGTTCCGGCCGAAGGGGGGCAAAAGAAAAAGCAAACCATGCAAGACCCATTGGAAATGCAAAAAAAGCAAAGCAGAAACCAAGCAAACCATGCAAAACCCTTCGGAAATGGGGAAAAAGCAAAGCAGAAAACAAACCAATTTGTTAAAAAACAATTTGTTAAAAAACAATTAAAAACACTGATGTTTCGGCAGGCCTTCCCCTCAACCAATTCCTGATTTTCCCTCTTTTTTCGTCTCTCCTAGTGTCTGTTCCATCTTGTCAATAGTTTGTCCCCTTTTTAAAATTGTTTTAATTATATTGTATCATGCTTGTTGTAAGCCGTCTAGAGTGGTCTTAAGTGACTAGATAGGCGGGATATAAATAAAATAAATAAATAAAATAAATAAACCGTTCAAAACCCATCGGAAATGGGGGAAAAGCAAAGCAGAAAGCAAGCAAACTGTGCAAGACCCATCAGAAATTTTAAAAAAGTAAAGCAGAAAGCAAGCAAACCTTGCAAGACCCATTAGAAACGGGGAAAAAGCAAAACAGAAAGCAAGCAAACTGTGTAAGAGCCATTGGAAATGCAAAAAAAAAAAAGCAAAGCAGAAAGCAAGCAAACCGTGCAAAACCCATCAGAAATGCAAAAAAAGCAAAGCAGAAAGCAAACAAACCCCACAAGACCCATTGGAAATGGGAACCCCTCCCAAAACAAAGACTGCAAGACCCATTACAGCACAGAAATATAACCCCCCAGCCCCAAACCACGCTGCAAAACCTGCCCAGAACAGTTTGTAAAAAGCAGAAAGCAGCGCCTTACCTTACCAGGCAGTCTGAAGCCCCCTCCGATCGCACACTCTCTAACTGCTGGGGCGAAAGAGCTACAAAGAAGCAGCCTCTTCGCCTACCAGAAGTTAACAATTTGAATTCCCCGCATTTTTCCCTGCCTTTTTTTTTATCGTAACTTGAAGCTTCGGCCTCAAGTCAAAGGTAAATTTTGCGGCCAGAGCTGTTTGTAACTCGAAATGGTTGTAAGTCAAAATGTTCGTAAGTTGAGGCACTATTATTATTACATTCACATCCTACCTCTCCTCCAGTTAGAAGGCAACATGCATGCATCTTCTCCCCACTTAATTTTTTGCAAGAATTTTATGAGGTAAGTCAGAGTGAGAAATTTGCATTGACTTGTAACTTTATGTAGTAAACAGGAAGCAATACAAACCTGTCCACCGTTATCCTGTAGCAATTCCCTTATTATTTATCAATGTAATTGTGTCCTGACACTGGCTCAAAGTCACTCTCTGATATTCACAGTCAGCTGTGAATTTGAATCAAGATCCCTTGAATCCTGATCTAACCCTCTACAATGTTTTTTTTAAAAAATTAGAACTGTGTGGGAAGAAATGTTTCACATGTCATCGGAAACTTACAAAGATAACATTAAAGGAATCTTTCCACATCTTTACAAAGATCAGTAGAAAAAAACAAGTGAAATTCTTTTAAAATGTATATCCTGTATTTATGATCTTTCTTCCACATTATGGTACAGTATGTCATTAAATAGATCAGTCTAGTCACAAAATGGCTGCCTGCAACTGCACAGTGTCTTTTGTCATATCACTGTCATATTGGTGTATGCGTGAGATAAACATTTCCCTAAACAATTTAATTTAGAAAATCTGACACTATTCTGTTAGTTGTGATCTGATCCTCCCCTATTTATGCTACAGAAACCATGGAAAGCTTACAGAGGTTCAATCACAATTTCCTTTATATCCTCTCATATTCCTCTAGGACCATAAAATCCAAAGGTGGCCACCAGCAAAAAAAGAAAAGAAAAAGAAAAAAAAGTCCACCAGAAAAAAAAGGGAGGTTTTTAAAAATTATTATTCTAGTGTGGCTGAGATCCTTTTAATTGCACTGGTCCTTCATCAGGGAAAAACAGAATACTGAAACCATCCGGTTCTATTATCCTTGCTCGTTATGGCAGCATGGGGGGCTGAAAAGTGAGAGCAACATATCCAGTATCTTCCAACTTGTCCTCCATTATTATTATTTAAAGTTTGAACTGTCTTGTTATAATAAAATATTTTTTAAAATGTCTTCGCCGTTGCTGTTGTGCTTTTACTTTTGGTGGCCCGCTTAAATAAGGGAAACAAGCTTAGAGTCCAGCTATAAGTGTTTTATATAGGTTACCCTTTTGCTGATGGTTCACTTAGAAGCTGTTACAGTATATATATTTTTGTAACCATATGCATATGCATAGGAAAGCCAATTAGATTTGCATACACCTAGGAGGCAGGAAAGTTCAAAGGGTTGGATCATACTTCCGCACTCTTAAAGAGCAGGCTGGGTAGGTGGGGCTCGTCAGCCCTGGAAGGCAGCCCATCTAGGAGAAGGAAAACTCCAATTTCAAACCTCTCACTGCACTGTGGCTATATCCACTCATGGAAAAGGCTTCAGGAGGTAGCCTTGAGGCAAAATCCGGAGCCAGAGTCCCGGAGGCAGTTCGTGGCGTTCTGCCAACTCCTGCAACGTTGCTGGAACCAGTTGTATTGGCTCTTGCCTTTCCATTGGACCATTTCAGCAACGTGGAGAGGGGGGACCTGCTGCTTGGGTAACAGCCTGTCCTCCATATTACTTTACCCAGGCTTCATGCTCTGGAGAGGACACTCCTCGATTCAGAGCATGTTACCATAGTCTCTCGAGACTGAAGGATGCCTATGTAATGCATTGTTCGCGATGCACCAGAGCCACTAGCTTTTCTGTGGTTTATAGAGGTTGCTGACATTTGCTGTTTATTGTCCCAAGAGTGATTGGAAGTTTGTTGTGCTAGAGAAATTGACAGTAAAGTGAGTTTTCTGCTTAAGCTGACATTCTTTTAAAAGTAAAGGCTTTACTGAAAAATTCAGTCGCAATGCAAGCTATATAATATTGGAAAAAGAATATGCATACCAGGAGACTTTAATATAATTGTAGATGAGAGATTTGACTACAAGTGGTAAAAAAGGGGAAAAGGGAAGGAAAAGATTTCCAAGAATTTTCTTTTGGATGGCAGAAGAACTAGGATTATGGAGAGAAACAAATACTAAAAACTCTCAATTTACCTTCTACTCAAATAGGCATAAATCCTGGTTGAGAATGGATATGATCTGGCTATCCTCAGAATTAAAAACCGAAATACAGGAAGTAGAAATAGAAACCAATATTTGGGCACATCATGATCCAATGAAAATGTGGTGGAAAGGACAAAAAAGGCAAGAGAAGATGGACCTTAAACCAGGGAATACTGGAGGATAAAGAATTTGTGGAAAGAATTAAAAAAGAAATGGAATTCTTCTTCAAAGAAAATAAAAAAGAGGAAACATCCCTCCAAACGATTTGGGACATAGCTAAAGCAGATTTCAGAGGATTAGCCATATCATATATAGCCAAAACTGACATATAAACAGCACCCTTTATATTAGGGTTCCATAAGTTGGAGTCAACTTGACAGCATGTGCCAAATGGTTCAATGGCGTCTTGAGGGCCACAACTTTCCCAGCCCTAACTTCATCCCTGTTCCAGTGTTTGGTACCTCTGGGTACTGAATGCATGATGGTCTCCTCATCTTGCTAGCATTGCCCGGTGGCTTATGTATAACTGGAATCAATCCAGAGAGGCTCCTGCATATTTGTAGCCTCCTCTATAGAGATACAGACTTTGGTCAGTCAGTCCGTCAGTCTGCATCCCGTGGAAGGAGCCCTACACATGCATTCACACATGTGCATGCGGGGCTGACTTCAGAACACATGCTAATCACACAGCAGAGATGGAGAGCAGTTGGCTTGTGCATCGGCATCAGGAACCCCTTCATTTGCTCTTTCCAGAACGTGGGAATTTGGGGGGGTATTGGACATCCCATAGTCCTCTCTAGCATACATCCTAACTAACTGAGAGCTTCCGGAAATCTCAAAAAAGGACACTTCTATATGTACTTAATTTTTTAATGCTATATGTTTGAAGAATATGTATTGTATACGATGTATGATAGAAAATCTGGATGAGGAACATAGTATCAAAATATATACGATTTGAAAATACTTTGTTGTTTTTTTAAAAAGGAATGAACTGATGGGTGAACCCTTTGCTTTACCTGGATAAAAATTTGAGTTTAGCTCTCCAGTGACCAGATGACATTGGTTTATCCTTGGTTTACATAATCACTCCTTGTATGTATTTAAGATGCTTCCAGGAGAGTTGATTTGCTGTCAACTAGCATCAACCTCTGATTCATCCTGAATTATATAATCCAATAAGGTGAGGCTAGTGTCAGATTAGTTATTCATGTAATAAGCCGAGCTGCCTTTAATGTTGTGGACTGAAGCAGGATGAGTGAAGGTGTGGAAAAAATAGGGGCTTATGGGTTTTGTAGAGGTCTATTCTGCCTTTTTGACTCACAGGAACAAAGTAGAGTAATAACTATTAAATAAATAATTTAGCCATCACAGTAAAAATGTACCTTGAGAGAAAAAGAGCAGAAAGAAAATGTGCTGTTATATACTGCCCCGTAGCAATTAAGGTTTACAGTTTAATTATTCAGGCTATACATTTCCCTCCCAGCAAGCTGGGTACTCAGTTTAACAATCTTGGAAGGGTGGAAGGCTGAGTAAACCTTGAGCCGGCTACGAGGGATTGAACCTGGGTTGTGAGCAGAGTTTTGGCTGCAGTACTGCAATTTAACCACTGTGCCACGAGGCTCCTTGAAGCATAACCAAAGAACCGAGTTCAAAACCAAACCAAAAGGGAGTCAAAAGCAACATAAGATGCAGGGAGTCATTCAAATAAAACAGCTCTTCTGTTGTGGGTTCCATTAAACATAATTTCTTCTCTCTCATTTCTAGATTTCTGGATCTATCCTGGGGAAAATGTGATTGGCCGTTTGGAAAGCTGCCAAATCTGCTTGCCAGCCTCTTCGGTCTCGAAAAATCATGCCGTGATCGAAGTCCCCTCCCCAGATGGGCCCCACCTCCTGTACGACAAAGGCAGCCTCAACAAAACTCGACGCCAGCGTCTGATCTTGAAGCCGGAAGTCCGGTACAGCCTTCAAGATGGGGACGCTTTGCTCTTTGGGGACGTGGGTTGCCAGTACTTCATCCTTGCCCCGGGGGGCGCCTCTGAATCCTCCGATGAGTCCATGGAGGTGCCACCCACTCAGACGAGGCCAAATGCCAGTGCCTTCGTCATTGAGGAGACGCCAGCACCGGGAAAGAGGCTGCGTTTGGAAGGAGTCCTCGTCCAAGATTCAGACAAGGAAGAAGAAGGGGAGGATGTGGTGAATGGGGCTGGCAGGAAGAACGGTAGGTGAAGGTTGTGAAGGAGAAGAGGTTTAGATTTGGGGGCCCCCAAAATCTCTGCTCTCGTATTGCACAATGCTTTCTTGCACGCAGCCATCTTGTCTGGTTCCAGAAGCTCAACAGAGTTTGCTCCTGGTGGTTAGGGATGGGGTTTTCAGAACTGACAAACCCCTAATCGCGTAATTCAGTGTGGAAGTCACAGGCCATGTTATGAAACCGGCAGCCCTCAAATTGGGAGGAAGTAGAGAAGCGCCTTTATCTCTATGCTGTTCCAGCATGGCTTCTCAGAAATGTTAGGCAAGTGCCCAGCTGCATCATGGGAGTCACAAGGATTCCCTGCAACTCACAGTGGGGCATGGGGGCGGGGAAATGAGTTCCAACTGAGGCTGCCTCCATCTTCGCCCCCCCCCCAGCAGCATTGTAAATTGCAGGGAATCCTCACGATTCCCACCATGCAATGGGGCACAGATGAGCAGCACAAAAATGGCATGGAGGTGAGGGAGTTGCTTTATGTCCTGCCATTTTTGGGCCAGGGGGTTGCAGCTGAATTATGGGACAGAACATTCATCAGTTTCCAAAAAATCCTTTCCCTATTATTACTTGGATGAATGAACACCAGGGAATAAGGAGAATTTCCATGTGGGGCTAAGATAGACCCCCCCCCCGCACCTGGAATACTTGAGAATTATTGCTGCCAGTCAGAGCTGATGATGCTGGCCTAGATGCAGCATCAGTCTAAGACAGTTTCCCATGTTCCTATAATTCTGCTAGGATAATCAGGATTCTGGGTGTGCATACTTGGGAGTGCATATGAATGCAAAAACAACAACAACAACCAAACAAACAAACAAAATCCCCTAATATCAGGCACAGAAATCAAGTTTCTAAAAATGATGACTTCTGCTTGTTTTTTATTAAATAGTAAGTTTACAGCTGATGGCTTAATTCTGGGGGTTGTTGTCGAGCCTATTTGGATTGGACTACCAGGTATAGAAGAGAATATTTATTTATTTCATAGCTTTCTATATTGATCCATTAGTGCGAGACATAGAATAGCTCTTCTGAGGAAAATATAGATGTATTCCATTATATATAAAATGCTGCTTTGCAGTAGAATTAAGTTTCTAGTCTGTTTAGTACTTATACGGCTGACCGTCAACAACTCTTCAAGCAAGGAATCTGTGGTCCCTGGGATCCTTTAACACGATTGGGTCCCTCAGTAAAACGTCAGCTCCCAACTCTCTCCTCCCTACGGACTATGCTAGCAAGGCCGGCTGGACATTCTCATACAACAACATCTGGAAGCCCACTTGCCCATCACCCTCTCCAGCCAGAAAGGACATGGTTTCAACCTAAAATGGTACACATTTATTAAAAATATTTTTTACCTCACCTTTCTCCTTAGAAAAGGATCCAAGGTAGCTTTTACAGCATTTAAAGAGCATATTTAAGAGCAAAATAATGCGTGCACAAAGGTGACGTACATCATTAAAGACAAAACATGTGCTCTATGAAAAAAGCAGAGGCCCTTTGCTGAAAAATGGAAGGGCTGGTGGTGATGGTGAAGAAAGAGGAAATTCTTCCCCCCTCATTGCTTCTTTTTCTTAATTTAATCTTGTTGTCTTTGCTAGGGTCTGATCCTGCTGTCGATGATGGCCCTGGAGGGCCCTTCAAGTTGGCCTCGTTCATGTTTTCCTCTCCTTCTGCTGCTGTTGTGCCTGAAAGGTATGTTTTCTTCTTAGCAAATGATCTGAGGATCATACTTCCGAATCCTGAGTTAAGATATCCTTTGGGGACAAGAAAAGAGGCACATTTATCTTTTGGGAAAGATTGGATTATTTCCTGAAAAAAATAAGGCAGCAGCTATGCATTGCTTGTCGCCGTCATCACCACCTTCTGCATTTTTGCTATGCTTGCTTAGCAGTAAATAAATTATTGGTTCTTAGTGTTTTAAGAGCTTTTCAGGACACTCTTCACATTGCTTGCTTGAACTGAACCTTCCTTATCCCTACCAGAAACAGCTCCATCATGTCTGGTGGTTTGAAGAGAACGTAGCAGGCTGAGCATATATAGAAGAACGTCTCCAGTGGTATAATTCTGCTTCTTACATGAAGCAGAAAAAGCAGTGATGTCTCAGTGCTAGGAGACACTTTATCCGGAAGCAGCCAGTGTCGCTAATGAAGGCTTGTTGGTCTGCAGATTGTACTTAGTTACATAGCTTGGGTTAAAACCATCTTTCAGAAGCTGAAATTTCATTCCCTAATTTATTGGCGAGCCCTTTTTAAAATTACTGCAACATAAATATTAAAAGAGGAGATGGCAAACCATGTATTCCAAGGGAATGGCTCTTCTCAAGTGGAGCCAGCTGCAACATGGATGCGTATCACCAAAAGGGAAAATGTGTTTTTCTCCAAAATGTTTTGATTAAATTACTTAAAAAGAACTCATTAGAGCAGTGGCTTCCATCCTCAGGTTCTTAGATGTTCTTGGACTACAGCACACAGAAATCCTGACCGATACAGCTAAAGATGAAGGATTATGGGAGTTTTAGTCCAAGAACATCTGAGGACCCAAGGTTGGGAACCCGAATGCACGAGAGCAATAACTTAAGGCAGACGTGGGCAGTGTAGCCCTCCATTAGGTTGGGAACCCCACTGCATGAGAGCAATAACCTAAGGCAGACGTGGGCAGTGTAGCCCTCCAGGTGTTACTGGAGTTCAGTTTTCATCCTCATAATTGGCTATGCTGGTTAGAGGGGCTGAAGGGGAATTATAGGGCAGCAGCCTCTAGAAAGCCAAACTTTCCTATCCTTGACCTTACATTGCTTTATCTGGACTAGAGTCTTTGATGCTGAATGGACGAATCTGGTTGTTTATCGCTAGTTTTTATTTTCTTGCTTTGTTTTTTGTGTTTCACAGCGATGACGAAAGTGGGGAAGCCTCTGTCAGTGAGCTGCCTTGTCCTTCGCTGCGTCTGTGCTTTGAAAGCCAGGATGCTGAGCCTGGCTCTTTGGAGAACGGAGGGGTCCCTCCTTTGAATCACGAGAGAAATCCTGTACAGCCAGGAGGTGCCGAGATTGCAGCAAAAGCCCAGCCGGATTTGGGAGGAAGAACAGCTAAAAAACAAGAGGCTCCTTTGCTTGCTTTGGCAGAAGGCGTTCACCTGGACAGTGACACTGATGTGGATGAGGAGTTCACAGGTGGGATCTCAGAGCCATCCACGTCAAGGTGTCTGCCAGAAACCAGCAAGACCCTGGAGGTGGGCAGTGACACCGACGCGGATGAACCTGTGTCAGTAAATCCAGAGCCTGGTAATCAGAAGAACCACCAAATGGCCATTGAGGTGGGCAGCGATACAGATGTGGAGGAGATGGTAGAAGACCCCAATGTCCCCCAGCCCCATCAGCCTGCTGAAAATGGGGAGGAGGACACAGATGCAGAAGAGGGAACGGAGAATCCAAGCATGGCAGATCCTGGAGGCCACGGGTCCGGCCCTCAAAAGGAGGGTGGCTGCAAGGATGTAAGAGAGGCCACAGAAGACCAAGACGATGCACCTCCCAAAGGCCATCTGCTGGGTGAGGAGGAGGAGGAGGACAGCGACACAGATGTGGAGGGAGCCATTGGAGATTCCGATGCAAGGGCCCAGAAGCTCCTTGAAAACAGAGACAGTGATACAGATGTAGATGATGCCTCTCCTAAAAGGAAGAACCCAGATGGGGCTCTGAAGACCCAGGAGTCCGCTTGTGACAGGGATAGCAATACAGTTGTGGATGATGCGTCGGGAGCAGGGGATGTTCTGGAGACCCTTCGGGACAGCGATGGGGATACAGATGTGGAAATGTCTGACTTGGTGCTGGAGAATTCCGATATTGCTCGGGCGCAGGGGCCCCACCCTCTGAGCAGTAAGGACAGCAGTGCGTGCGTGGAAGAGATCCCCCTCAAGGGGGTTGTGCTTCTGGACAGTAGTTGCCCAGGGCAAGGGCCTGGGGTGGAGGCAGACAATCCTAGTGTCGAATTTAAGGGGAATCAGGAGGCTGTGAGTGAAGCGTCGCAAAGCTTTGACAGGAAGAAACCTTTGGAAAACTCCAAGGTTGTCAAGGATACAACTGTTTCATCTCAAAAGCCAGGCCTGCCCGTTCTCTCTGTGGACAGCAATACAGACGTGGAGGATGAGGTTGAAAATCCAAACGGAGGGTCAGAGGAGGGCCACAAAGCGGCAAGTGTTGGGCCTGGGAGAGGAGGCGGAGGAAGCTTTCCAGAGAATTCTGGTGTCGGATCCCCTCAAAGTCCCGTGGCGGATGGGGTTGGGGACAGCGATACTGATGTGGAAGGGACGTCCCCCTCCCACAAGGAATCCGTGGCTCAAGACAGCGATACAGACGTGGAAGAGGCAACTGTGCCGTTGGTCCCAAGAGAGACTAGCACGGCCGGGAGGGAATCGGCGGCTTCTGCGGCAGAAGTGAGAGTCCGCCAGGAACCTTGCAAAGGGAATGAGTATCCAGGCACCGAGGGAAACGAGGCCCCTCCAGCCAATGACGGTAGCAACACTGACGGTGAGGGGTGTGTGTGTGAGAAGGGGGTACAATTTAATTAATTAATTTATTTATTTATATCCAGCCTATCTAATCAATTAAGACCACTCTAGGCGGCTTACAACAACAAAAACAACAACAATGTAATTAAAAGCCATTTTTACATAAGGGAAAACTTTCAGCAAGATGGGACAGACAGTAGGGAGTGGAGAATTTTCCCGTTTCGTCTCTAGTCCTGGCAATCCCTTTATCTTGGGCTCTGTGTTGGTCGGGCAAGAGCCCTGTGGTGACAGTCCAGTGGTATCTGGAGGGCTGCCTATGATGGTGCCTGGCGTTGTGCCAGTTGCATTGAGTCTGGCTTAGCGACAGCCGCAGCCTTTTTGATGCTGCAGAAATGTGGGTAAGCAGCAGTGCATGCTGGGATGGGAAGTTGCGGTGGGAGGGAATGCTTCTTTTTCAGCGTTCAAGCCTCCAGGCTGTGATTTCGGGGAAATGCTGTCCCTCCCTCCTTCCCTCCCACACCCAGTCAGCGTTTTCCTATCCACTGAGCATGCTCGGTTCTCCTTTTGCTTTGCTTGCTGGGCTCTCCTTAGCTTAAGGTTGTAGCTTTGGAAGAGGTAGCCGCGTCCGCCCGTGTAAGGCAAAATCCAAAGAAAGAGGACAAAACAAGACAAAAGCATGCGGTAGCTTAAAGACTATTATATTTTAATGTGAGCTTTCGTCGACAAAGTCATCACCCATATGGAAACAGTGTTCTACTTGTGAAATTAATATTTCACCCAGCTTTCGTCGACAAAGTCCACTTCATCACCCATATGGAAATAATGTTCTACTTGTGAAATTAATATTTCACCCGTTATTTCATTTCCCCCCATATGTCTGATGAAGTGGGCGTGTCCAAGAAAGCTCGCATTAAAATATAATAGTCTTCGACAAAGTCCACTTCATCACCCATATGGAAATAATGTTCTACTTGTGAAATTAATATTTCACCCGTTATTTCATTTCCCCCCATATGTCTGATGAAGTGGGCGTGTCCAAGAAAGCTCGCATTAAAATATAATAGTCTTTCTCCAAGAAAGCTTGCATTAAAATATAATAGTTAGTCTTTAAGGTGTCACATGGTGTTTTTTGGTCTTGTTTTGTTGCTTTGGATTTTGGCAGATTAGTTTAAGGTGTTTGTCCTAAGGATATATTTCATTCCTGCAGATCTCCGGAGTCTCCCTTGTCTGCTGTTACCTTGTGCATGGTAGTGCTGATTTGCTTGTATAAGTATTGAACGGTCCCACCTGAATAGGGGAAACCATCCGATTTATTGATTGGACTTATAGAGCTCAGGGTGGCACGTGGTAACGGTAGAATAAAAAAGTATAATGTAAGTAGCAAACAAGTGCAACAAATAAAATAAATTGGAATCCCAGTTCAAATTTTAGAAAAAGAATAATCTAAAAACAAATCCATAGGGAGAAGTGGAACCCAGCTGGTAATAAGCACTATCCTCAGTCACTAATCAGATGACGAATATGTTCAGCTTCCAGTAATGGACAAAGGGCAAGAAAACCTCTCGTCAAAGGGAGTTCCGGAGCCTGGGAGCCACGCTAGTCGACGAAGATGTTCAGCTTCCAGTAATGGACAAGGGGCAAGAAAACCTCTCATCAAAGGGAGTTCCGGAGCCTGGGAGCCACCACTAAAAGTGTCTTCTCTTTTTGAGTCCCTACCAAGTATACTTTTAAGGGGGTGTTAGGAAGAAGACAAGGGCCTCCCTGGAAGAACTGAGAAACTAGGCGTGGCATCATCTTCAAATAGATTGGAATCATTTGTGCAGGGCAGTTGCAAACCATTTGATCATAATAACTAATCATGTGCCCTCAAGTCAGTTCCGATTTAAGTTGACTCTTTTCCACATTTTTTCAGGGACAGAGTACTCAAGTGGTTTACATTCCCTTCTTCTGGGACTGTGCAACTTGCCCAAGGCTACACAGGTTGGCTTTACTCCCTGGATGCCCAGTAGGGGAATCGAACTCCCAACCTCTGGCTCCACAGCCAGATATGTAAACCCCTGAGACATCCAACCAGATAGATCATAACCAGTGCAGTGAATTGTGGGCCAATAAACAAGGCTGGTAGCCCATGAAGGCGTTGAATAAGGGAGTCCTGTGGGCCTTGCAGAGTTCATTGGCTTCCCTCACTTTGCTTCCCTTTCCTACTCTGTTCTCCCAGATGATCCTGACCTGGCTTTCCAAGCAACGCAGTGTTTCTTGCCTCCTGAGACTTCGTCCCCCATGCCTGAAAAGGCCCACAACACGACCGTGGCAGGTAAAGAGGGTTGCAGGATTCCTGGGTTCTCTGGCAGAAGATGAAATAAGGACATTCCGTGCTGGGAGCTGCAACCTTTAGGACCCTTAGAAACTCTTGACTTTGCTTGTGTTTTGTGATCTTCAAGCACTACCCTCACCAAATACCTGTAGGCTTGCAGGATGCAGTGGGATGAAGGTTGAGGTGGTGATGAGACTGTTTCTGAATGTAACTGTGGAAGATAATGGATTATTATCTTGAAGGATGTCCTGTCCTTTTTCTCACTGGGTCTCGTCCCCTCTGCTTTTAACTTCTCAACAACAACCCTGTGAGGCAGCGTGAAGTGGAGGCTGAGAGAGGTACGGCTGGTCCAAGATGGCCTAGGGAGTTTCATGGCTTAGCGGGGGCTTGGATGATGCTCTTCCTAGAGTTGCACATCAAGGGCAGCCACTACACTGTACTGGCTCCATGAATTCCTAGTTCCTAAGGAGTAACAGGAGGAGAAATCATCCGTTCTGTAAGAAGCTGGTGGTTTTCTTGTCACATCTGTCTTGCCGGTAGGCGAAGCAGGACTCTGCAGTAGCTAATCCCTTTGGCCCGACCAAACAGGGCTGCTCTGAGGTTCTTAAGCGTGTTCTTTACAAATAAGATTTCTTGAAGCGAGTGGGAGGGACTTGAGAGTGATCCTCTGGGTTGAGAGGCATGGAAGAATCGACATCATGATCTCCGGCTTCTGCCTTTTGATTCCCTTCCCTTCTTAAATGCATTAAGGAAAATCATCCTTTCAACTCTTTTCTCTCTCTCTCTCTCTCTGTCTCTCTTTGGTGGTGGAGTTATTCTAGCTAGACATTAGGTCCTTGTGACATGACATGA